TGTTTGGGTGATGTGTGTGTGTGTGTGTTTTTATTCCGTGTTGCAGCCGGTGGCGTGTGCTCTCCGCGGACGTGTTGAGCGGCCGTGTGTAGCTGATGGATTTTGTGCGTCGGTGTGAGAAGCTCTGGATGATGTGAATGCACGTAAGGATTGGGTGGTGTGTGCATGCGAAGTGTTTGTTGTTGCTGACATGTGTTGTTGATGGAACGCGTTGCTGCTGAGCATATTACGCTAGCGTGTGTTGTGCATTAGGTGTGCACTGTGTGTGTTGAGGTGATGGTGTTATTGTTAGTATGGTGTGTGTGTGTGCGCGCACTCGATGTTGCTGAGGGTGTTTGTCTAGCGGTTGGTTAGCTTGGTGGTTGGCGATGTGAGTATTGCTGCGCATGCGCGTTTCTCGCCTTGGTAGTTGCAGTATGTTTGCTAGCATCGTGTATACTAGTCCCTGTTATTGTGCGTTAGTGTGTGTGTGTGTGTGTGTGTTTAAGAGTTGAACGTATGCTGCGAATGTGGATGCTATGCGTAACTTGTGTTTCTTTGTATTGCAGGTGGATATGATCGCGGTGTTGTGTTTGTCCAGGTTTTCGCGAGTGAAGCATGCATTCGGTGGGGTTGAGAGTGTGAGTTAGTGTGCAATTTGTCGCCTTGTGGCTGTTGATTTGTCAGTGATGAGTTCGACGTCCGTGTTTCTGATGCGTGACATTCGAGACGATCTGAGTTCAGCGTTTTGTTTCGTCAGTGCGTATAACCGAGTGTGTGTTGATCGGGCCGTGGTGTTTGCTGAATGTATTCCACTCACTGTTTCGCGCGTTGTTGCTTGAGTGTGTGTGTGTGTGTGTTGTGTTTGATGCTTTAATGACAGGTGATGTCGTCACATAGTGTCCATGTTACATTTATGCTTGCGTCGTAGATGTTGATTCGTATACGCTTGGGTCGTACAACTTCTGGTTTCTCACATTGAACGCGATGTTTGCGATGGAAGTGTGGGCAGGAGCAACGGGACCTCCTGTGTGTGTGTGTGTGTGTCGATTGTGTTCGCACCCGCGAGTCGACGTTGTGTGGCGGGGGGAAGGCATGCGCCATCGGTTACTGCCAGTGTTGGCTGTGGGTTGGCCCTCACATCATCGTTTGCGCCCTCTTTTGCATTGATGTTCTCGTTTGGATTTGGCTTTGGATATTGCCGCGGTTGTTGGATGCTCTCCGTGAGGACGACGTGGACTGTGCTGCTGTGTGAGTGAGTGTATTGTGCATGTTGTTGTCGATTCTGATGTTGTGCGTGGCGCACAGTGGTGTATGCTGATGATCATGCCCCCGTATGACGCTGCCTGATTAGTGCAAGCGATTAGTCTTTCTGATGCGTGTAGCTTAAACCTGTTAGGTTGCGTTGTGTGATTATGCTAGAGGGTTGTGTAACACTTGTGTTGTTGCTTTTCTCGTGATTTCAGGTGTCGTCACGGTGGATGGTCGCGTTTGTTTGAAGGTGAGTCACATGGCGTTTGAGCGTGATGCAGTTGTTTGTTGTGTTGTCGTCATTGTTGCTGTTGCTGGTCGTCGCAGTGCAATTGATGGTGGTTTTAACGCAACAGCTGTCTACGTGTTTGTCTGGCGATATGTATGCGTCTTCGCTGTGGTTGTTTTGTCTGCGTTGTCAGGTTGTGTTTGGGTGATGTGTGTGTGTGTGTGTTTTATTCCGTGTTGCAGCCGGTGGCGTGTGCTCTCCGCGGACGTGTTGAGCGGCCGTGTGTAGCTGATGGATTTTGTGCGTCGGTGTGAGAAGCTCTGGATGATGTGAATGCACGTAAGGATTGGGTGGTGTGTGCATGCGAAGTGTTTGTTGTTGCTGACATGTGTTGTTGATGGAACGCGTTGCTGCTGAGCATATTACGCTAGCGTGTGTTGTGCATTAGGTGTGCACTGTGTGTGTTGAGGTGATGGTGTTATTGTTAGTATGGTGTGTGTGTGTGCGCGCACTCGATGTTGCTGAGGGTGTTTGTCTAGCGGTTGGTTAGCTTGGTGGTTGGCGATGTGAGTATTGCTGCGCATGCGCGTTTCTCGCCTTGGTAGTTGCAGTATGTTTGCTAGCATCGTGTATACTAGTCCCTGTTATTGTGCGTTAGTGTGTGTGTGTGTGTGTGTGTGTTTAAGAGTTGAACGTATGCTGCGAATGTGGATGCTATGCGTAACTTGTGTTTCTTTGTATTGCAGGTGGATATGATCGCGGTGTTGTGTTTGTCCAGGTTTTCGCGAGTGAAGCATGCATTCGGTGGGGTTGAGAGTGTGAGTTAGTGTGCAATTTGTCGCCTTGTGGCTGTTGATTTGTCAGTGATGAGTTCGACGTCCGTGTTTCTGATGCGTGACATTCGAGACGATCTGAGTTCAGCGTTTTGTTTCGTCAGTGCGTATAACCGAGTGTGTGTTGATCGGGCCGTGGTGTTTGCTGAATGTATTCCACTCACTGTTTCGCGCGTTGTTGCTTGAGTGTGTGTGTGTGTGTGTGTTGTGTTTGATGCTTTAATGACAGGTGATGTCGTCACATAGTGTCCATGTTACATTTATGCTTGCGTCGTAGATGTTGATTCGTATACGCTTGGGTCGTACAACTTCTGGTTTCTCACATTGAACGCGATGTTTGCGATGGAAGTGTGGGCAGGAGCAACGGGACCTCCTTGTGTGTGTGTGTGTGTGTCGATTGTGTTCGCACCCGCGAGTCGACGTTGTGTGGCGGGGGGAAGGCATGCGCCATCGGTTACTGCCAGTGTTGGCTGTGGGTTGGCCCTCACATCATCGTTTGCGCCCTCTTTTGCATTGATGTTCTCGTTTGGATTTGGCTTTGGATATTGCCGCGGTTGTTGGATGCTCTCCGTGAGGACGACGTGGACTGTGCTGCTGTGTGAGTGAGTGTATTGTGCATGTTGTTGTCGATTCTGATGTTGTGCGTGGCGCACAGTGGTGTATGCTGATGATCATGCCCCCGTATGACGCTGCCTGATTAGTGCAAGCGATTAGTCTTTCTGATGCGTGTAGCTTAAACCTGTTAGGTTGCGTTGTGTGATTATGCTAGAGGGTTGTGTAACACTTGTGTTGTTGCTTTTCTCGTGATTTCAGGTGTCGTCACGGTGGATGGTCGCGTTTGTTTGAAGGTGAGTCACATGGCGTTTGAGCGTGATGCAGTTGTTTGTTGTGTTGTCTTCATTGTTACTGTTGCTGGTCGTCGCAGTGCAATTGATGGTGGTTTTAACGCCACAGCTGTCTACGTGTTTGTCTGGCGATATGTATGCGTCTTCGCTGTGGTTGTTTTGTCTGCGTTGTCAGGTTGTGTTTGGGTGATGTGTGTGTGTGTGTGTTTTATTCCGTGTTGCAGCCGGTGGCGTGTGCTCTCCGCGGACGTGTTGAGCGGCCGTGTGTAGCTGATGGATTTTGTGCGTCGGTGTGAGAAGCTCTGGATGATGTGAATGCACGTAAGGATTGGGTGGTGTGTGCATGCGAAGTGTTTGTTGTTGCTGACATGTGTTGTTGATGGAACGCGTTGCTGCTGAGCATATTACGCTAGCGTGTGTTGTGCATTAGGTGTGCACTGTGTGTGTTGAGGTGATGGTGTTATTGTTAGTATGGTGTGTGTGTGTGCGCGCACTCGATGTTGCTGAGGGTGTTTGTCTAGCGGTTGGTTAGCTTGGTGGTTGGCGATGTGAGTATTGCTGCGCATGCGCGTTTCTCGCCTTGGTAGTTGCAGTATGTTTGCTAGCATCGTGTATACTAGTCCCTGTTATTGTGCGTTAGTGTGTGTGTGTGTGTGTGTGTTTAAGAGTTGAACGTATGCTGCGAATGTGGATGCTATGCGTAACTTGTGTTTCTTTGTATTGCAGGTGGATATGATCGCGGTGTTGTGTTTGTCCAGGTTTTCGCGAGTGAAGCATGCATTCGGTGGGGTTGAGAGTGTGAGTTAGTGTGCAAGTTGTCATCGTGTTTTTTTGGATCGTTGAATCTATTAAAGGCTTTTATTTTTCTGGTTGCACTTCAGCTGCCCTAAACACATCGAAATGGTCTTGTTTTTGATCACAACTTCTTTCTAGTTGCTAGCAACCTTTCTTTTCTGTACTCTCTACATTCCATTGGTTATTTCTTTTAGTTCAACTAGTTGTGCTACTTAGTTTGTGCTTTCTTTTTATATATCTGTTTCTCCCTTTCTGAACTACGTTCATCTTCCTACTGCACGATTTTCGGTATTGACACTGTTTTTGCAACCCCGTATTTGGGAGTTTTTACGTGTCTGACGTTGTTTGAGGTTCCCTTTGCCATGCTGTTTCTTCTTGAATGATCCATCTGATAACATTGTGTGGTCTCCCTTACCTACGGTGGCTGAACCAAATTCGGCGCGACCGTGGTTACTCCCGTTTTGTAAACTGCTGTTACTCGCAGTAACGCCACACGAAACATCACGTCGGCACAGCGGACCATGGAAAGTGGTAGAAAAGCAACATACAGTGGGAGCAGTTTCACTGACTGAGCTGGTGATACACATGCGTTTTACACTTGCGTGTGTACACGGTACTTAGTCGGTGCGAAAGCTTGATTTGTCACTTAGAAGTAGAGCACATCCTTTATGGGTGAGGAGAGCTCAGGCGTGATTAACACGATACCGCGGTTTTTCATCATCCCTGTTATGGTGTGCCTCGATGCACTCGAGAATAAACTATTTATTTATCCACCGGTTAATATATCTGACCTTTGGAGCAGCAAGGATGCACACTGGGTCGCAATCAGGGATCGAACGTTTCCGCGGGGACATATGATTCCCTCTAACAGTACGGTAGTTTGGGTTCCACTTTCTGCTACCTTCTCTCTTCATTATCTACTCCTTGTATCCTACACCTCTTACTTTATGATGACCGCTTGTGAGCTAGATATATTACTCAAACTGTGACAAATTTGTTGCTCTGTAAGCTATTCGCGTACAATATCGTGGAAGCAGTCAGAAAACGGAGGATCACCTCCCTTTCATCTTATCTTCTGCTATGTCTTCTAACTTTTGGCGGCGCTGGATATTCCGTTCTTCGACGTCTTTCATCCTCCACGTTTGAGGCATGTAGCAGGAAGTACGCTGGTGTATGGTACCGCGGAAGCCGTAGATATGGCCGTAATTCAGGAGCGGCACATTCGATTGCTCTACGGTCATGTTCACTCAGGCCTATTGACTCTGGATCATTTGCTTTTTGTTCTGCCTCCTGCATGTGCATCACCTCCGACAACAGTCGGCCAGCAACCGCCCTTTCCTTGGCCGCCACTGCTGTCATCTTTTTGTGGTATTGTCTGTAGGCTTCAAGTTGTTGCCTGGTGTCAAGTCGCTCTTCTACTGACCCAGCTTCAGACATGCGTTTCACTGTATTCCTCATGTCCGCCCTTGCAGCCGCTGCCTCAGCCTCGGCCTCGGTCGCCCTACCCTCCGCATCCACAGTATGCTGAAGCCATTTCTTGTACTCACTGCGCTGTTTCTGCTTGATACGTCGGTGTTGAGCAATTTCCTTCTTCGCCTGTTCCACTATTCTCTCCAAGGTGATCTGCGTGAGGAGGTCGATCAGATCCAACTGTTCCAGTGTCATATGCTCTAGTTTTTCTCCGTAAAGTACTTTCTTCAATTTTATCCCCGCATTTTCCGCAGCTTCTCTCACCGCTTTGGCTGCATCACTCTGTTGAATCATTTGCTCAACCTGTTGCATTGCTTTGCTCGTTCGTCTTCTCGTTTGTGTGTAGAGAGTCGAGATCTGCAATGAAAGGGCAGAAATCTTTAGCTGACTCAGCTTTGTCTTTAAACTACTTGTCTTGGTTCGAGCCTAAACCGTTTGAACTCAGAACTCTCGTATTTCTATACTTTTTATGCATTTTATCTGCATCTTGAATCGTGTTTTATGTCAAAACCCACGTTTATCAAAGCCAACCCCTCAGACAATGGAAATTTCGCCGAGGTCTTTCTTTGGCATTGGTGATACACTTATTTTCCTTGCAAGTGATCTATTTCAACTTAGCTCCTCAACTGCACCCCAAGTGTCAACTTGCCATTAGTCCAGCTGTAGTACCTCATATCGGAACTGGTATTCTTTTAATTTCTTCGACTCACAGTGGTCATGTATCTTATTTTTCAATTCACATGGATCACTTTAGCCTCATATACGAAGCACTTAACTGACATTTGTGTTACCATCTTCTCGTACGTGGTTAGCTTTTTTGAAGATATCCACAACTTCGATACACACCTAGCAGCCTCAACTACTAAAAGCGTCGGGAGTACTTATGTTCTTGGACTAGGCAAAGTGGCTTTTTGCTAGTCACTGGAGTTCGTGGAAATAAGACTCCGTCTCTTAGCTGTGTACGGTACGTGTGAAACAACTTTGCGCACTGTAATACGAGGGATTCGCATTCTTCGCAACGCTGCGTTTTTGTTTTATCTCTTTGAGGGCAACAACTTGTTTTCCTGTGTCATGTTGTCAAAATGTCTAACTATACACATTATGTTTCCCTCTCACAACACACTAACAACTCTGAAACAAACACTATCCGGAGGTTTTAATCTATCCGCTTCAAGTTGTCTGCATTTTTCGCCCGTAGCGTAATTCCCTACTGCAGTCATTTCCTACTCTGATTTTTTTATACGGATATCATCGTCTCATTGAAGGACGCTTCTTCTTCAGGGCTTTCTACCAAATATAAAAAATACAGATGATGTCAAATTTGATGACCTTGTGTTTTGTCTCACAGAGTAGCAGTGTTATGGGTGAATGTGTTATCCTGTGAAGTTCCTACATCTGGAGTGCCTCTTTTTCCGATACCCTCTACCCTTTGTTAGTCTGCTTTTTCTCTATAGCTTCTAACTTGTGACATTTAGAGCCTGCACCAGCAAGCATTTTTTCATATAGTTGTTCGGGCGGTGTCTCGCTCAAGAGCTCGGACTCTGTAAAATAAAGCTTATCCAGCATGTTGCACTGCCTCACCTTAGAAATGATCATATCTTCATCTGTAATAAATTCCGTGCCATTTGGCTAAACTAAATTGCAATCCAGTCAAATGAGATTACCCAAGTATCTACCGATGATAAATACGCCTGTTTTCCGGACGCTTGCGACTCTCTTCGCTTCACGGGTGTAGTTAAACAAGTAAATAGCTGTGTCATGCACTAAACCATGATTCAAATGATCACAGACAACTTCTCTTTCAGCCTCAGAATCACTTACAACAACCTGTTATCTCGATTCGTAACTTCGTCTGATGAGGACACCTTTGGAGCTTCCACGCTCTTTCTTTAATAACATTGGATTGACCAGTACGCAAACCGATACTTGTATTTTGGGCAAATTTATAGTAAAGCCAAACTTACCTCCAGAAGCATTTGTCTGAGGAAGCAATATACGCTACGGTTGCGCCGCTCTCTGCATCCGGATTCTTTCGTTTCCCAGAGAGTTGCTTTGCACTTGACAGACGGTGTTATTGCGGCCAAAACAAGCAAGCCACTGGTAATGCCAAACACAGCCACAGCAAATGCAATCGCGACCATGATGGTGAGCTCCGTTTCGGAGAATGTCAGCTGCGTCAAAGCCTGCGAAGGAGTGCGAAGCACAGTCTTTACTAACGGGCAAAATAATTGTTTTCTCACGGAGTCCGTAGGCAATTCTCGCTGGGAGTTTGGATACTACTTAACGGCATGCAATTACCCTGTTGCCCCACCACTTTGAACTAACTCCACTTGACGGTTTCCTCCAAATGGTTCACTCGATAGCATCTCACTTCCAAGATACGTACTATAAATTGCGGTTCTCTCTCTCCAGCGCTACTGACCTATTTTTTGGAATAGTATCTATTCTAACGATTCGAATCATCAATGTTCAATGAACAGTTTAAACGCATGGTTTGATGAGATTGCGCTTATCGCTCCATTCATCTTAGGTTTCAATATTCAGCTCTGTTGCTCGCGTTCTTCCATTAGCCGCGTTCTAGACTCCATTAAAGTTCCACCTCCTCCCATGTACAAGTGCCATCGAAGTGTATATAAAATCAGCTAACTTCTGTCTCCACTTGAATTATTCAAATGAACTCATGAACACTGCTTCAGCTAGCAACCTGTTCATCGGCTTTTTTCTTTTGTTTTGGACCTTTCACTCCTTAAAATCATAACTGGTGGTTTCACTGCGGTCTACTGTCGCAGTTCACCTCAGGTACACTACCTTCTTATCAGTCTTTGATTATTTGTGACGGGTGCAGTATGTCAGATGACGCGCCATGCTTGATAACACCTACTGCGTCTGGCTAATTAACAACTGGTCTATCTCCACTAAGAATGGATTGCAGCATAAACTTGGCGGCTCGCCCTGGTTGCCACACCGCAAACTCGTTCGTTCTGTCATTGTTTATGCAAAATAAATGATTTTTCAAACTTTTTAGGGATTTGAAAATCGACTAAGCTTGATTTTTATCAAATCATAGTTTTTTTCTGTTGGACCAGGTAGAACCATTGTTGTCTACCTTCCCGTCAGTCCTTCATAACCTTTCACGGATGCACAAGACGGCAGACAGGAATCTTGCACCCTGTTTGTTTGCCCCCGTTGGAATGAATCTACTGGATTTCAGAGACGGGATAGGTACTCTATCGGACTCGAAGTAAACTATCTTATTGGTTGCTCCAGGCATTATTTCCCGCTTACACAGTCCAATCGATTCGTCGTGGTTTACTTTTATTCTAGCAGATTGCATATGAACCCAATTGCCAAATCGGAAGCTTTAGCATTTAACGCTTAGATTGCCACAAAAATCGTGTATTTTAATAGTGGATGACAACCTATCGACATGTGAGGAGTGCCGCAACTTTCAATCATACTATTTGAGATATTTAGCTTAGGTTAAACATTTCTTACAAGCTGTGAACATTTGTCATATCGGAGACAGCACGATCAGGCGACGGTCAAGCGGTATCATTTCTCGAATGCCCACCGTTGACTAACCCGCCGCGCCACTTCAAATTTTCGCAGGATTATTGATTACCCCGATTGCTTGCCTGCATACGTCTCTGCTTCGTTCAGTTCCCGTTTTTTTAACTAAAGGTTAGTCAAGTGTCTCCCTTGCTTTTATGCTTGAAACTTCATTGGTGCAACTATCGCACTTAAACCGTTGCTAACTGTGCTTTCCGTTTGCCACCTTCTCAGAGTTCTGCCGATGCTCTCTCTTTGAAGAGAGGCAATAACCCGAGAAACTTAAGTTTCTTCTGCTTCTAGCGTAAGATGCTTTGCTGTCGCACTTGTTATCTCCGGATTACATTCCATATCACAGAAGTGACGTCATTGCATCGATGTGAATCGCAACAGGCTATGATATGATATTTGAGAATTTTGTCCTTTTTCTGCTGCGCTTTAGTTGAATAAATTTTTTCTCTTGAAGAACTCACTTTTACGATAGTAATTCAGGAAAGCAGACTACAAGTTCCAATTTTGCTAGTGGTAACTAGTGTTCTAACCTTCTGATTGTCTTAGCTTTCGTTCGATCCTTTGAAACACTTTTAGATTGGCAAGGTTATTTTTCGTGCAAAATGTTATTCACTACCACACATCCAGTAGTTCCTAAACTGGAACTGGAAAATTGACTGAAAGTTTTCTTATCCGACAGTCCTGCGAATGATGGTTACTTCAGTTACACGGACAGGTAAAATCTACGCATAGCAATTTGCTAGTAGCTTGGGCGCCACCCGATTGTGTGTAGTGACAATACTTAGTCCTGTCTCAATCTCATGCGCATCCCACTTTCGTAGCTTTACGCGATTGCCGTGCAGAATTTTCTGCGATTTCACTGCCTCTTTACAATTGCATCTGTTCATCCTACCTTCTCATGCCGGGGTACATATGACATTCTGAGACTCACCTTAAAAACATCAATTGCTTGACGTTGCCCGATCAAGTACTCTTCGCTTGGCTTTAGCTTATCCAGATAGTCGATTGGTTCTGAGGGGTAATGCGTCTTCCACCAGTGCTTCCTTGGAGACACTTTCGCAGTACCATTTAATTTGGCTTCATAGACTACAGTGCCGTTGTGCAAGATACTCTGAAATATGTACCGTAAATGTTATTTTCACTGTTACTCCGATAATGTTTAGATGTCCATCTCAGTTTTTTGCTCATCCCAGGACTACCAAACCAGCATCGATTACATAAAGAACAGTTGACTTAGCGATCATCGACAACACCATTGTTGATCATATATTTCTAACATGCTGATAGTACACTCCACACTGTTATTCACAGTTACCCATACTCCCTTTAACTGGACATCTACCTTATGTATAGCAATGCGATATCACTTCAACACTTTGGTGATGATTAATGAATCGTGCCATCTACAATTCGAACAATTAATCCCCTTGCACTTGAAGCATACGCAACGAAAATGGAAGCATCCGCACGTTTTAGCAAACAGTCGTTTTCCTCTACAATTCCGTAGTGACCACTGGAGCACACTAAGGTAACCAATGACAAGTCTCATTCGTGTTTAGAATTGGCACGGGTACACCAGTCGTCGACCTCTGTGCTACAACATTCGGTTCTGTGTCCACTTATGTCAACACGAGGTAAATTAGTCTTCTGTTCGATGCACTATCCCGATTTTGCTCACATCCTAATCAAGACTACTGGCTTCAGCCGAGGTCCTTCGTCGCCTTTTCAACATCCAGAGTCGCCTTGATTGTTCATCAAACACACCTTACTATCAGTAATTGATCGTGTCCACCCCTGCGCGTAATGAGTTGGGCACACAAAATTCATAGCGTTCACTGTCTGCTTGCAGTACAACAAACGCTGCCGACGAAAGTAACAGGCAATGTACAACTGTCGCCCTGAAGTAGACGTCGGTGTCTATCAATCCGTTGATGAGGCCAGCAATAGCGCTGGTCCCCTTGACCATATTTGCACAACTACGTATCAAACAGGTTCACCAAACGCAGTATCAATTACATAGGTGTTATCTATCGATATCCTACACTGGCTTCGTTAGGCTCGAAGCCGTGATTATCCTGACGTCTGTTAATTCGTAGCTCCTTCCATTTATCAATGTCTCCCTGGGACATATCGCTTGTTTAAAACTCGCATGATGTCGTGTCATTGACTGGCACCTTTTGGCTTCGGAAGTTCATCATGCTCATCATCCTACACATTAACTATGGGTGAGAAACACCCCAGCTATTGAGTCGCAGCTGCCGTAAGTACCTCCCAGTTTTCGTCTAGAAATCAGTAATCTTATTGGGTCAACCTTTCTGTTCTCCAAGCAGTGTGCATCTCATTCGTACTGTAAATGTATCCTCAGTAAAACTTACCTTACGTATCACATTTATCATGGCATTTGAGCAGTGAGACGAAATAGCTCCTGAAATTGTGTATGTCGATGGTTTGGAACTCGGGCATGCATTACACACGAACGGGGAATCTTGGAAGTCGTTGTAGGTATTTGGCTCACATGGAACGCATGTGTATCCTCCGTGAACTTGTTTCTGATCAACGGGAAAAGGAGGGAAAATTGTCAATCCACTGAACTTTTATGTGGGGAACAGTTGGTCGAATTTACTAATGCAACTGATGAAGTGAATAGGCGATTTGCTGTTTACAGTATCGTTTAGTTTCACAGGAGGTTAGCATTTCCTTTCAAATCATATATGCATTTTCAACATTTTATACTATTAACTGCTAATGTCTTTAATCAGCGTCACAAAACGGAAAAAATTGCATAACTAAGAAGGGCTTGAGCATGACTCGAGTAACCGGTCCTACATCACGCCGATGACCTTCCTTTGAGTCAACAATTAAACGTAATAGTTACGGTAATACAGAATTGTGGTATTCTCTCGTTGAAGGAAAACTGTCCTAAATCTAGAAAGACTAGAAGAAACAGTTAGAGCTCGGTGCAGTGGGTGAAAGGGGGTTATTTAACACCTTATACAAACCGATACCCGGGGGCGGCTTCCTTACTGACGAGAAAATCAACTTGACAATCTCCAAATGATCCGGTACATCCGTAACTAAGCTTGATCGATCATACAAGCAAGATCTATACCGGGGAAAATTACCGGCGAGGAGTGCAATCAGTGAGGGAGGACACAAACAATCAAAATCTTAAAAATTGACCCGCGAGTTGCTGAAAGCACATTGAGTGGGAATGCATGGTGGAATAAATTTGTTCTTCTACGGGCTATTTCACGAATATACCTGAACCAGAGTAAATACTGGGCTGTCGAAACATCCACATATTTTAGTTTAGAATTTATGTCTATTCAGATACTATAATCTCTCGCCCGCCAGATTGCCAGTGTGACCAATCACGTATTATGTTTCCCATTCGCTGGTCACCCTCGACACGACAGGAAAACCGCTAGTGAACCAGTAATATCGATTGCTTCAGTTGGTACTTTACCCGTACTTTGGCACTCGTGTGCTCTGGACCACTTTTGTCCGCTGCGTACCACGGGATGCACTTTTGGGGTCGAGTCTGCGGCCACACCAAAGGGAAGACTAACACCTGTGACGCTGTGCGCGCGTGCAGTCGTATGGACGCTTTCGGTCGTGTCGATTGGACGATCTGACTTCAGAGAGAGCGTCTCGGCTTTCCTTCAGGCGCGCATTGGTGCGGCACATAATGTGCTGGTACTTTTAAACAAGAGCATATTTTGGAACGATTGTTTTGTTTAAAAATACCTGCAGGCCTGTAGTAGGCTTGCAAATTCCTTGTACCATTGGCTCCGTTTGTCGGTCGTCTATCTGCTGATGGCAATCGGTGTACCAGCACACTTCAATGGTGTCCAGGGTGATCAGCCAATGGGAAACATAATACGTGCTTGGTCACACTGGCAATCTGGCGAACGAGAGACATCTAAGTGAGGGATACTAAGAAGTCGATTGGTAGTTCTTGTTAAAACTGCAACCCTTGCAAGCTGTTGGAAGAGACGATTTGAAGGCTTACACGAGCGAGATGACGTCCAACTGAATAGTGATAAGAAGCGGATTGGTTGATTGTGTTGAGGTTGCAACTCTTGCAGGCTGCTGGAAGCTTGGTAGACTTATGGGTTGACTGCACGTTTGCCTTCCTTGCTCGCTTGCCTATCTGGCCACACGTGATGCGGTGTGCAGTGTAATCGTGCCACGGCGAGCAATCCGGAGAATCGATATATGTACGATTTCACTTAGGATATGCGTTTGATTGTTAAGACAGTGTGAGGTAATCAGCTACAATGCAGTAATTCGTATGAAGGTAAAGCTAGGACTTCTTCGCAAATAGAAGTTTAAAAGCATTACATTACAAAGTTCTCATGCTGTGTTTTTCCAGTTGGCCGTACATTCGTGAGAATAGCGTAGCAACGTATTGCTGATGTAGTCGGCGCATTGTATACTAAAGTCAAGTTCGCTGTATAGGTAAGACCATCAGTGGAGCTGTAGCCATTGTTCCAACGGGGAGGGTTCCTAGTGTGGCGGTGACACGACATTAGTGAGTGTTCGTTCGTCTCTAAACCTGTGCGCCACTTCGGTAATCAGTTACCGCTACAGGACCCATGGACCTGCCGTTATGTTAAGGTCGTAAGATGCACGTCAATCCTGCGTTTCAACATGGTGTTTACACTTCACTTCCAAGTGATTGATAAGCTTGAAATATCAAGTGACCCTACGGCCCTGATATACGCTGCCAAGGAGCATTGCATACGCATAGTAAGCATAGAGTTTGGAGCAATTTTCCTCCTTCAACAATGCCTCCGGAATTACCTGCTTTCCAATGAAAGATTGTTTCCGAGTAGTTGTCAAGTCGATAACAACCAGTGTCACGACGTGCACACATGACTGCTTCTAAGACTAGCTGAAACATTGGTCCATAGCAGGATTAGTAGACGTGGTTGCCTTTGTAAATGATTGCAAGCACATTGTAGGAACGCCCACGGGTGGGATAACAGTGTTTGTCTGTTCCAACTACTCACCTGAGTTACCAGAGTAAAATGCCTGCTTCGCCACTAATTATAAGTCTTGCGTTCTTTTTAGCAAGATGATGTGGCATGTTTAAACACTGTAGTCATTGTATCCCATTTAGGTGCTTCTTTTTTGAAGAATGCCGATTTCATGAGGATAGCATGCTAGTCTATGGACGTAATAGGAAGGTTCCATCAGCATTCACTGTGCTTCTGATGACTCCATTTGGAGAGCCACTTGTGAAAGCGTCTCAACATGTATGGGCGATCATATGGCAGTGAAGCGTAATTATCCTATGAATACACACGTTCCTATGACCTTTACATAAGGTCATACATGGAGACAATGGAGCGATAACTGATTAAAGGGTCGCCTATTGGTGTGGAAACAAACGAACACTGACTAACGTCGTGTCAGCGCCACACTTGGAATCCTATTAGTTTTTGTTGAGTCATCAACTGTGATGGAAGTAAGCGAACTTAGCATTTTCGTTGTTCAGCTTCAGGTTGGTCTACTAACTTCAATGGGAACAATGCCCCCCCCCATGATCACTGCAATGACAATCGCACAAAATTTTATAACCAACTTGTAGCCATTGCTGAACTACTGGATACCAGTTAGATGATTGCCTGGCTACGCCACCATGGGCGACCATATGGAAGTGAAGAGTAATTATCCTATGAATACATACGTTCCCATGACCTTTACATAAGGTCATACATGGAGACAACTGAAGCGATAACTGATTGAAAAATTCGCCTATGGGTGTGCAGACGAAGGAATACTCACTAACATCGTGTCAACGCCACACTTGGAATCCTGTTAGTTTTTGTTGAGTCAGCAACTGTGATGGAAATAACCGAACTTAGCATTTTCATTGTTCAGCTTCAGGTTGGTCTACCAACTTCAATGGGAACAATGTCCCCCATGATCGTTGCACTGACAGTCGCACACAATTGTCTAACCGCCTAGCAGCCATTGCTGATCTGCGGAATACCAGTTAGAACATTGCCTGTCTACGCCACCATGGCTAGACCGCTGAATAAGCCACCACCAGGTAGCCGCTAGCGATCACTAAGTATAGACCGCTACATGTGCTGCTTAGTATGTCTGTCCGCACTGGTTACATCTTAAGCTTTGGATAATGTGGTAGCTAGCATCTCCTCCTTTGACAGGCAGCACAATTTGCCTATTGGTCGGTTTCAGGTTAGAGACCAATCATCGAGGTTTACTTCAGATGGGCATCAAGGCAGACCAGAAGGTGGTGCTCAACCACTTTCATTGGACTGCCTGTCGCTTATGCTGGCGGCTCCTAACCGACGTCCCATTGGTTTATGTTCCATGACCAATGAGAGTGTCAAGGACGCCAAATCAGCGTTCCTGGCCTCGCTAACTTGAAAGTACGTCACGCGATTTCGAAAATGCACCATGCTAAAAGCTCGGTGCAATACACTAACATGCGTGTAAAATGGTATAGTCATGTTCTGAGACGCGCGAGCAATCACACCCATAAAACGCGCACGCGTTGGCCAGTGTGGTTGACAATGGTCACTTTCGGCTGCAGTCACTACCAGATACAAGCGGCATTTTATTACCGCAAATATAACATGAGCACTTTGACCAGCGTTCTCTGCTTGCACAACTACGGTTGCAGCAGCCTCAGCGATGAGCAACAATGGCTTTTTGAGTCCTTTGGGGTTGCGCTTTGATACTATGTAGGCTACTTTGAATGCGTCTTTATTCCGAATCTGATGGCCAGTATTGAGCAGATGATCGAGGATGGAGCTGCGTGCATTCTTAACCGGGCCATGTTTCAGTGCTTCGCTATCTGCCTAAAACCATTGGTTCTCAACGTTTTTGAGGTTGTTGCCCCCAAACCAGGTTCACTATAAGCAATTACCACCCATAAATATTATAGTCCAACAAACCAAGTAACCATTTCACTTTTGTTCTGGCTTACGGAACATGAATATTATGTTTAATTACATGTTATCATTCAAGTGAGCAAAACACCCATTTTGAGCAACCTTTATTAAATCAATAGTTGATATAAGTTAATGATATATTAATGATATGTTTGATATTGCTTAGTTCCATAAATTTCCGGTATATTTGATGCGCTTTCGGCTAATGCACACGTACGTTAATCTCCTATTTCGTTCGTTTTCTTGCTTTGGTGTGTGATCGCTTAGGAAACAGAAATCAGGAGCTTCACATTTGTTTCAAACATCACTTCCAGGTGCGTCCTGGATGACATAATCTCACCACCACTATGTATCGATACGTCCTGAACACGAATCGCCTGTTTTGTCCCTTCTGCTTTGTAAACAATCTCCCGCTCCTTCATCTGATCGGCTGACCTATGTGTTCACTCAACTCTGTAATTTGGTCCGGCAAACGACTGCCGGAACCCACAAAATAACGATCGATGAGCAAGCCGATAGAGGTACCATCTAGGTTCGCTGCTTTGTAGACTTGTATTCGTATTTTAGGTAATTTGTCTAATTCACTAACCACTCACTAATGACTAGTCACTGATGGCTAATTAATAGTGATTATGTAGTTAGTTAACTGTGTTGCTACAGATGACTCTGTTGTTAACTTTGTTTGGTGACAGCTTGATGACCCAATCCTCGTACTTGTATTTACCCCCGTAAAATGCCGTTTTACTCCTTTGGAGGTAATTAGCCTCAGGTTGAGAATCACTGTCCTAAACAGACCACTGGTCATGTGCCGAGGTACCTTGCACCACATATGCAGGTGAACTGATATAGAACAAAGGATTCGCAACGAAACGGAATTCCATCTTTGAGGCGTTACGTGATGAGCGCAACAGTTTCGACAGAGGTATGAAGTTTAGCAGCTGGATATGTTTGTTTCACTGCCAGCGATGGTCTTCTATCCACTAATTCATAAGCAATACTCCTCTTGCAAGGAACTGAAAGGAAAACATCTTTCTTGCAGTTGATGTTGCTTTAAGTTGATCAATCGCAGCGGGATATCCGTTGATCTGTAGCGTCCCGTTAATAAATTTCATTTCGGTTTCTAGCGCTTAGGGACTGCAAACTCTCGTGGCACCATGGTACAGACAACGCATAAGGTTTAGTTTACACATTATGGACACAAAACCAAGTGAGGGTGCATACTGGCCCACCCGGGTTGACTTCCGGAAGACCTCTACCTCAAGTGAGCCATCGATTCGACGTCGCTAGGAGACAGATCAAAACGGCTTCACTCTCTTTCTCTTGCTCGCTTTTGCTGACCTATTACGTTTGGCTTAGTCCTGTAGATTGCCTGACATGAATGGTCGAAAGTGTGCTATTCGCAATTGTTACGTACTTGCATGCATAACACGACGAACGTCTTACGACGTGTACCATCATGTGCGGAGCAAGGGAGGTATTCAAGTTAGGTTTCAGTTTGGCATACAGAAAAAGGAAAGACTTACAACAGCTCATTTTTACGGCATGTAGTTACATCGAGTGTCTCACCACTTCTCCAGACTGCGTTTGGCTCTGGTTTCGCGAATTTGGGAATACTTATCGAGCGACTGCAGAACCAATTAGGCCATTTCTCTATTGTGTTAACCGTTGTGACCTGTAGCTTAGATTAATTCAGACACTTCGTGTGCGTCCGCGATATTTAAGAGTATTATGCACGCTGTATTGCGCTCAATTGGTTGTGACCCTACTCCTTCCTAACCAACTAACATTCGTCGCATAACACGCAGTCACTTTAACTATAGTGCACCATATTATGACAGGTGGCTGGGCATGACAGATTTATCAGCCCCTTATACTATTCACAACAGTGTAACTTGAATGTTCACAATCCTGTCCAGTCGTGGGAAAGACCTACCGCCTCATGAGAAATTTCTTTTCAGTAGATAGTGTCAATAAGATACGATTATTAATAGCGTATTGATCTCACATTTTACCGGTTTTTACTTCAGTGTTAACTTGATGAGCCTTGTTTAACAAATGCAGTAAAGAACGTTGCAATCTAATCAAATCCGTCAACAATCGATTAGCGTTTTTAAATCACAGGCCAGTGAGCACAAAGGCAGTTGACTGGGTAGTGGCCATGACAAGATGGGACATGCACAGGTGGCTTCTGTTTAGTTAAATCCGGTTTCAAACGTTTGGTTTCAGCGACTTGAGCTGTTGCCAATAGATGTTTTTCGCGTCTCTTTGGATCTTGCTTAGAAACGATGCAGGCCACTTTAAATTCGGTGTGCACGTGCAAAGCGTCACGTGCCACAGGCGGTCGGACGACTTCATGCTCACTGGTTTGCGGCAGCGAGTTTAAAATGTTCATCCATTGTCACGTGTTGCTCCCTAACTAACTCCCGATTTAGCACCTGTGTTGAAAATAGACATTTTTGCACGCTGTGCTTTATGAACCGGTACGAAATCATCTTTAAATTTCTGCAAACTGATTGTAACAGCATCTTCTTATAATTATGTGGGCGACAGTGCGTTTGTTTTAATGGACGGTATCGCAGTTGGCTCGAGCGCAGTTTCTGCACCCAGTCAGATTAGCACTCTATTTATTGGATAAAACGTGACGTTTTGGATCTACACCAGACTTAACTCTTGATTATACATGTCTGAAGTGAAATTCCTTCGCAGGCGTTTAGCTCTTTACTATTCGAATGGGGACAGTTTACGTAATAAATGGGCACGTAACCAAATTACGCAAGTCTATAGTGCATTTTCTAGGGTGTTGCTCGAACATGCTTTTCGTATCGTCTGTCTGCCGTCCAACTTGACGCTTCGTTGCCTAGCATTTCTTTGTGTAATGCATGGGTCACACCCCTAATTCCGCAGCGCCACAGTTTACCGTTTCACAAATTAACCGCTCATTGGAGATAAAACAGTGCGCACTGAATTCAGTAATACTTACCAGATCGTATGTTTTTTGTGTCCCAACGATTTCCCCACTGTCACTCCAATCCACTGTTCGCTGTAATATGCAATATGTGTGACGAAAGGTTAGTGTGTTGGTTAAATGTGAAATGATAGGAAATATATTCAGGACTGTGAGTTCACTGGACTACTGACTATGTTAACCCACTGCAAATGCTAATACAGTCGCTAGATCTCTTATCGCTGATAACGTTGAACCAGTGTTTTCGACAGTTTTCACTCGAAAGGCACATGGCACACTATAAACCTGCCAACACCATGAGCATCTTGCTGATTAACCTGTCCCGAGTGCAATGAGATCGTTTGGTTGTATATCGAGGAATTCATCATCCGACGTAAGCTAGGTACCAGTTACCAGAGCCACATGTGGATACAACTGATGTTGAATGCGTAAACGCTTCGATTACTCAAACCTGAAAAACACCGCACATTTGTTATTGTTACTGTGTAATGAATGCAACACCGGCACCCATTTTCACTGAGAAGTTGTTCCGGTAATGGATACATTTCCACCTTCATACTAGTCCAAGTTGTGCTTCATCGTTATGTGAACGTGAGACCATGTGAGACTTCCTTGTGTGTCCTAACCGGTGGGCTGCACCGCAAGTGCTAGTGGTGCAGAAACGGTAGTGCACGTGCGACGCTTTTATGATGTGTTGTATTGATTCTCGCGTCATTGGCAGGCGCTCTCACTGTCAATACATGAAATTGGACAGTTAACGCTGCGTCCAGAAGCGACACAGTCGCCCACACTCATTTGACCTGCGGATCACCAATTCCTACTTCAACCGTTCTCTCCAATTGGTACCGCAAATCGGTTAATAATAATAATAATAGTAATAATAATAATAATTATTATTATTATTATTATTATACTGCGTATATTCTTCGATAGTGCAAGAAGCTGGCCCAGGATTGGGGACAGAGCATGGATATGATGAGGATCATGCTCATGCATAAGTGAGATATGTAATCTGGAGTGTGTGGTATCAAAATACGTTGGAATCACAACTTTTGCTGTTGCTGAGTTTGGGCGTCACCTTAGTGATTGAATACTTCCTAGTCCATCCTGAAAGAGCTTTGTAGTGATTTACCCGATGGAAACATGGTCATTATCGACTTCTGATCCAGGAAATGTCTAAGTTGAATACGAAATGTTCTCGCGTGTGCTAGACCTGGTAATGGTTAGTCGGCTATTCTACACAACAGCGTATTTAACGAGGAAGAATGGATCGAATAGCTCTCCTGATTCTTGGCACAATTAGTTTGCGAGTTTTATTGTGTAGTTTCCGAGTGAAGTTGTGTTTCACTTTTATTGTACATACATGGGAGTATGTCTTGGTTTATGAGATTGTGTGTCAGCATCAGGTTATGTTTCAGCCGTCGCAACCAAGGGATCTCGAGCTGAAACCATTGGCAACGCCACTGATAGCTCAGAGTGGGCGATTTACTGAACAAGCGTTTTGTGAATCATCTTTGCAGGTTTTCCAGGGCTTTTCTGTCACCCATACGCATGTCAAATCAAAGCTTTTCATTGTTATCAATGTTTGCCGGTGCAGCCGTGGTTCCATTTCCCTCATTTGATTGTCGATATGTCTTACTCATTGTTTTGTCGATGTTAGAAGTTTACAAACCGTTTGCCACCTGGGTCTGTCGACTTGGCTACCCGAACGAGCCCACTGACTAGGTTCGAATCATCCCAACGCAACCACTCTCAGCCCTGCTTTCACTGGTTTGCTTCATCCATTCTTTTAAATACCGTGATCTGGTGAGAAATATCAAAAAGCGGTCTACTCGCGACTTTGCCTTCTTACCTTTGCATGGGCTTTACTTGAAGATCAAAGTAGGTTAAGAGACAGTCTGCATACACTTACCTCCGAGTGCACGTTGCTCCACGTGACTCTGTGGCCTAACGGACACAATCTTGTGACTCTACTCGCCGATGACTCGACTTTCTCTCCGATTGTTTCGCATCTGGTGATTCGGCTCCGTACTTTGGTCCTCATTGTGCTCAAACTCGGGAAAGCAACTTCCTTCTTCTCTAGAACGCAACTGAATATCACTGGATCCATCCTAATTTCATAAACACAGGCAGAGAAGTATACAGTAGGGGTGTAAAACCCATAAACTAGTTGTGATAATTCACATGCGCTTAAAATGTATCGCTGATGGCGTTTCATGTCAAATGTACCGTCATTCTGCGGGGAGCACGGTTCTCCTCATTTGGGTGATCTACCGAACGCCTCCTAAATGAATAGGTTTTGCATCATCTGAGTATTATTCTCACTTTATCCATCATGTCCATCAATGCTCGACACTTGCACTAAGCTTCGACGCTCAGCTAATATACTGGAGTATTTGTGTGGATGAAATGAACGGGTCGGATTGTCGAAGCGAAACGCGATTTCCAGTCAACAACGGATAGGGACTTTCATCGTATTTATTAGTGCAAATCTGGTGTCTCACAGATGAGCTGAAAGCTGCGCTACTTGTTCCTTATCCAAGAATACCATTGATTTAAACTAGGTGTTCGATCTTTTCCCCTGTCTCTTTCATCTTTAATAGGTCTCTTCCGGTAAGCATAATCGGGTTTGGACTCGAACCTGGTGGATGTCTCCATCACTGTAAGGTTCACTACAATGCGACTCTCGATCCACATTGAGTTTGCTCATTACAATCCGTTCACACAACGAGTGTTTCAACATTACCCCTCCACTCAGTCATTCACCGCGGCTTGGTCGCTTGGGATAGGAGGCTTCAGTTTACGCCCCAAACACTCCGAGGTCCGAGTACAGTCGCTTAATTTTTACGTGATCAATACAAATTACTACAACACCGGTCGTGGACGGCAAAGTTAGGGGTGCTCAAAACCCAACGTCTTTCTTTTCTGCCATTTATCTTCACTAAGCTCAGTGGTCTCTTAATGTGTCGATCACCGATCGGGAGATTAACTTGACTTAATGGGCTCGTGGGCTTGATCAATTAACATTCGCGGTATGAGGTTTGAAACTATACCATTTCCGAGTCAAGTTAGTTAATAGAGGAAGCAAATTGGTTCGTAAGCATTTTCAACTTGGTTCATAAGCAGTTTCAAGTTGGTGCGTTTCAAAGTTTGGCTAAGATGCACACACGCACCGACGAGTAGCTTCCTCATTGGTCAAACACCGTCGGCCAACAGGATGCCGTGTGTCACTATAGAGCAGGTGTTCTCAAGCTTTTCGGCACCTGCACCCATTTTTAGCGTAACGTAGCACGATCGACCCCTGAGCTTTCCTTATCCACAGAACTAGGGTCTAATAACATAAGAATGAGGTGGAGTTCATCGCTGTACACTAAATTTGCACAGTTGTTCATTTATGTTGGCAAAAGTGAAGGCAGTTGAACTTACATGCAAATGCAACTATATTAAGGCCTACTACCTTGGATAAAATTCGTTCCGACATGCAGCGCTGACTTGTTTGATACTAGGTGTTATTGAGGAAAGCTATAACCTCGGATCTCGTTGCGCTTCAGGTCTGTCTCGGTACTTTGTTTTGTATAGATATAATGCGAGAATGCAATCTCACACAGATAAGTTGTGGCAAATGGGAGAAGGACGGCGATAGCTGTCTACCATGACAAGGTACACATCGTTCGCTTTGTATCAGAAATCACACAGAGACAGTCTGTGAAACGCTTTTTGAAAGTAAGAGTCTTAGGTCATCTCCATGCATTTTGTATGCATGGCCGGATACGTTTCTCGGTTCTGCTGTCAGCGCATTACTATAACTAACGATGTAACATACTTCCCTAGCTTTTTTACAGTTTGCGATGCGTGAAGCATGTACGTTTGGGTGTTCAATATTTCATCTCGCATGCGCTGTAAGTCCTTTTTTCTGTCTTTACAGTCCGTATGAATTTTCCAAATGCCGCTGCGTTTTAATAAGCACCATGTTTGTCACACAAGTCAACTTGTGTACAATTGTTGGACTCTATAAATCCAAAAAGAACATAAATGTTGTTGTATTTCCGCCTCTTACACACTGGTACGGAGGATCCGGTTGGCACAGACTTATATTGCATCACATCTCCGTTGCTGCATGCTCAGAAGGCACATTGGCTGGCCCAACTACTACTACATCTGAATTCGACGAAGAGTATCCCTGTGAAACATTTAGCAGTATTCCATTCTTCATTTCATGGTCCCTGTTGATGTTACATGTCTAACTACAACAATAGAGATAAAAAATTAAACACAAGAGTCCAAAACACACCAGGAATTTGGTTACTATGATAGGTTGTACTTTGAAAGAAGTATCGTAGTGAACGAAAGTGCCACCCTTTTGTAACGTCGTTGATGTAGTTTCCCTCGAGTTCGCATAATCGGCTGAGCACACTCGTTAAACACAGAAATATCCACGCTTTCCTTCTGAGCTTCCATTGAAGCGATCCCGCAAACGGGCCTCCCTTCCGGTTTGCTTATTTTTCGGAGAATAGTAACACTTGAAATGATCGCAAACTTGAGCCCTATCATATGGTATACCTATCGTTCCCCCTCGAGGGACAGAGACTGGGTTATGTGAGCTTGAGCGGACGTAGAATGACCCATCCAGCCACTGCCCATGGCATCACGGTGAAATTAACACACGACCTTACTGAACTAGGAAAGCCTCGTTCGCTCACATTTTAACTCCCAGCCAAAACAAGCTTCCTCCTTGGAAGAGGTATGTTTCCATGGGCAATGCACAAGGCTATAATGTAAACCGTTAAGCTCGATTTAAAAATTTTCACAGCATGTTTGTCATAAATTTGTGACAGACTGATCGCGTCCATAAAATTTCCTAATAGAATTATAACACTTTGGGAGATCACGCGGATTCCCTGAAAGTAGCCCACGTACCCCCTGGGCATCCGCGGACCACCCTTTGAGAAACAGTACTATAGAGATTGTTATACTCATAAATTATGCGCATTCAGACATGAAGAGAACAATTGCGAAGAAATTTCTTTTCCATAAATATCGTCAAGCGCTACAATTATGAAGTAGATAACTGAAAGTTGCAAAAAACTATTGCTAGCTATGTACAAGGACAAGGACGTCGGATGATAGAGGAAACAGTTAAACTGGGAACTTATTATGTACAGCAATTAATGACAGATTCAAACGAGTCACGATGGACCGGTGACCTTGAGGCATGCTAACTGCGTGAGGACCAGTTCAGAATTAGCGCTTGCACGAGAGCTTGCTGCTTGCATAATTCCGGCTGAAAGCGTCCGATAGCAAGAGCTTCAGCTATAGTCAGGAAGCGCCTCTTGAGTCCATTTGAGCATCGCTATGCGGCAACAAGGAGAACCGTAAAAGAGTATATAACACGACATTGATGCCATCGCAATGAGGCTGGACCTTACCCTGGTGCGATGGTTTGTGTGCCTCAGTGATCCATTGAGCTATACTGGGTGGTGCATTTTTTGCACCTTCAGAGTCACTCATAACAGATTGGTCAATGGTTAGAGGCCAGACAAACTCAGCCTCCTGGTCCTCCAGGTTGAGGGTTGGAATGAGTGTGGCGCCTTATTCCTTAAAACGGACTCCTTTTAGCCCAGTGTCAAACCCGCTGCTTTGCGGATAGGTTTTTGAACCAAAGACTTTGGTTGAGAACCCTAATCGTTCTCCTGTCTAGGTCTGGGCAACCTGACAGTATCTTGCCCATGCAATACAATGAATATCTCTTCAAACAAATTTCTGATACTCTGGCCACCGCAGAAGATAATCAACTGTGCCCTTTCTGCTGCATCGGCAGGGTGGATAGGGGTTTGGATGCTACCGCTCAAGCCTTCCCGTCTTCTTATTCCCCTTCTTGCGCTTTTTTACCCTTAGCGTTCCGTTCCAGCTGCACTTTTATCCCCCCTGTTTTTAACCCCCCAATTCTCGGCCCTCCCCCACCTTGCTTCAATAGTCGCTTGTCATTAATTTCAACTCACATGTGAACGCGGAGCGTCATTCCTGCCCTGTCAACAGGCCCATGTCCAACCAAGCGGCCCATTCCAATTCATCGGCTTCCATTTGGAGCCCTCGATCCTCCTTCAGATTGACATGCCTCAATGTTCGCACATTACTACAGATCGGTCAACAGACAGCACTTGCCCGAACATTAGAGACCCTTTTGATCGATATCAGCTGCTTATCGGAGACCCGCCTGAAAGACTCGAGCTCTGTACTCACTCTGCGATCCCCTTCAGGGGACACTGGCAGCACTTTCTCATTGCGCCTATCCGGTAACGATGCAGCTTCGAGCACCGGCAAAGCCGGTGTTGGTATTGCCCTGAGTCCCCGGGCTGAAGCTACTCTGGTTGATTGGATTCCAATCAGTAGCCGGATGTGTGCGGTCCGATTGCCTGGCTCGTCCAAAACTTCGAAGTCGCGTGGGACTAACAGGTGTCTATTCGTTATCGCTGCCTATACACTGACAAACTGTAGCGATGACTCGGTAAAGGACGACTTCTATGATCAAATGAAGGAAGAAGCTCGTACACTATAGTGCTGGCTGGGGATCTGAACGCTCAAGTTGGAAAATTATCCACAGATGATCTGCATCTGGGCGGCCAACATGGTATAGGCTCCCGTAATGATAACGGTGAGCGGTTACTTCATTTATGTGAAGATGCTCGCTTATTTTTTGCAAGCACTAATTTCCGACACAGCACCCGCCGGAGGGTGACTTGGTGCCCAACAGCCTCGAACAAGCTATGGACGCAAATCGATCACATTGCGATAAGTTACCGATGGAGAGGCTGCGTCCAGAACTGTCGTTCGATTTGGAGCAAATGTGTAGAAAACCGACCATGCACTTGTATGTGCTGACCTGCGGATGTGCTTTGGCGGACGCCCACGTCGACTTGGTGAGCGCACTGACACCAGCCAACTGGCGAAGCCAGCTGTTCTGAATGCCTACCGAAGTACGCTGTCATGCGAGCTGGATAAACGCTCACTGGATGCAATTGAAGTTCACTGGTCTCATATTCACCAGACCTTACTAGCAGCAGGAAAATCCTCATGTGGTATGTCTAATCGCCAACATGGACATTGGGTCTCT